AGTTGCCTTGAACATCATGTGTGTCTCAAGAGTTTTCAAAGATAACAAATGGCTGTGTACATTTTTTTCTTTGTATCAGCATTAACTTATAATTTAAATAGATTATTTCCCTCCTGAAACATCTAGAGACAGCAGTCATTTATGTCCTTTCCTAACTTTCATGTTTTGTTAGACTAAATTAGATAAATTCTCTTCTAGTGTTCTGTTAGAGGTTGAGCTCTTGTTTTCCCTTCTGTTTTCTTCTTCATTAGTTCCCATCATTGGCTTATCTTTTCTTGAACATGAGTGATTAGAGTTGTATGCAGCACTCCAGGTGTATCTTCTTGTGGTATCTGGTACAGCAGTTCTCTTTCTTTGGTGGAAGTACTTCTGAGTAATCTCAAGGTCACGGTTGGCTTTTCTTGGCTGTGTGTAGTTGGCAGCTCATGCTCATTCCCTGACTTTTGGAGTAGGACCATCAGCTTTCACTCACAAGAAAACATCGCTGTTCCTTGCCAGCTGATGTGCTTGCGTCTTGTATTCAACCAATGTAAACCCAAACTTTCCTGAAAAGGTAAAGGCTCCTTACGTTGGTATCTGAAAAGCTTTTACTGAGTTTATAAGGTAGCTGGTGCTGGTGATAACAGAAGAGATTACTTGCTCTTTTGTTGAAGAGTTCAGGAGAATTTCTTGGAGAAAGTTTTATTTACAGCAGCATCCTCTGTGCGAGTAAATGTGCTAAAATGATGTTTGTAGACATTTTAAATATCTAATCTAAACTGTTCGAAGAGCCTTAAGTCTTCAGAAGGTTGACACAAAAAATATTTAGCTTTAAAGAGACTATCCATATCTCCCACTGCTGTGGATTGTCCTGTGGATGAAATGTTGAGATTCTGTCACAGGATGAGGGAGACATGTATCTCAACACACTGGTCAGCCTAAGGGCTTGACAGGTTTCTGCTATGGTAACTTTTACTTGAGAAAACTCGCTTGGCTGGGCAGATGCTGCAAGGTCATGTCCAGTTTTCATGCTGTGTAATTCCTCACCCATCTTCATTGTCTTTATGTTTCTGGTCTGCCTTTCTTCTGTGTATAGACCATGATATTTCTAAGAACTTCAACTGTTCGTTTCTGTGGTGGATTATTTTTCTTCTCATGGACATCTAGATTTAAAAAGTGACCTCATTTATATTCACAAGAAGATTCTTGCAAATTCTGAGGTTCGCTTTCACGCTTCTATTCCTGTGCAACAGACAAAGAACTGGGGTGCCCTGCTCTCACTCTGATCTAGAAAGGAGAATACATGCAATTGTATAGCACACATCTCATTGACTAAGGCCATCAACGTCCTTGACAATATTTTTGTAGGGA